AGGACTGATGCTGAAACTGAAACTCCAATACTTTTGTCACCTGATGCAAAGAGTTAACTCATTAGAAAAGACCGTGATGCAGGGAAAGGCTGAAGGTAGGAGGAGAAGGGGATGACAGAGGACGAGATGGTTGCAGGGCATCACCTATTCAATGGACATAAGTTTGAGCAAGCTCCAGGAGATGAAGAGGACAGGGAAGCCTAGCATGCTACAGTCGACGGGGTCTCAGAGTCAGACACAACTGAGCAACTGAACAATAACAATATTATTTAATCATAATGTTATTAGCTTATTTGAAGCAAATTTGAATGTTTTATGTATTTATTTGACAGCGCTGGGTCTTAGTTATGGCATAACTCTTAGGGGTGGAATGTAGGATCTATCTAGTTCTTTGATCTGGGCTGAACCTTGGCTCCCTGCACTGGCAGCATGGAGTCTTAGCCACTGGACCACCAGGGAAGTCCTTGAGGCAAATTTAATAAGCACCTTTCTTTCTTGTCTGCACAATCTCCCCACAGCCCCACTCAGTTGCTCCCTTAAAAGACCATAATGGCACAGTCTATCAATGAAGATTTCTCATAGGAACTTTATATGCATTGCATATACCATCAAATGCAACATTTTAAAACATTTTTCTGAGAAAGATGAACACCGATATCAGTTCAGTTCAGTCATTCAGTCGTGTCTGACTCTTTGAGACCCCATAGACTGTAGCATGCCAGGCTTCCTTGTCTATTACCAACTCCCGGAGCCTACTTAAACTCATGTTCATCACGTCAGTGGTGCCATCCAACCATCTCATCCTTTGTCATCCCCTTCTCCTTCCGTCTTCAATCTTTCCCAGCATCAGGGTCTTTTCCAATGAGTTGGTTCTTTGCACCAGGTAGCCAAAGGATTGGAGTTTCAGCTTCAGCCTCAGTCCTTCCAATGAATATTTAGGACTGATTTCCTTTAGGATGGACTGGTTGGATCTCCTTGCAGTCCAAAGTACTCTCAAGAGTCTTCTCCAACACCATAGTTCAAAAGCATCAATTCCTCAGTGCTCAGCTTTCTTTAGAGCCCAACTCTCACATCTATACATGATGTGAAAAACCATAGCTTTGACTAGACAAACTTTTGTTGGCAAAGTAATGCCTCTGCTTTTCATATGCTGTCTAGGTTGGCCATAGCTTTTCTTGAGGAAGCAAGTGTCTTTTAATTTCATGGCTGCAGTCACTGTCTGCCGTCATTTTGGAGCCCAAAAAAATAAAGTTTTTCACTGCTTCCATTGTTTCCCCAAGTATTTGACATGAAGTGATGGGACCATGATCTTAGTTTTCTGAATGTTGAGTTTTAAGTCAACTTTTTCACTCTCCTCTTTCACTTTCATCAAGAGGCTCTTTAGTTCTTCTTCACTTTCTGCCATAAGGGTGGTGTCATCTGCATATCTGAGGTTATTGTTATTTCTCCTGGCAATCTTGATTCCAGCTTGTACTTCATCCAGCCAGGCATTTCTCATGATGTACTCTGCATATAAGTTAAATAAGCAGGGTGACAGTATACAGCCTTGACATACTCCTTTCCCTATTTGGAAGCAGTCTATTGTTCCATGTCCAGTTCTAACTGTTGCTTCTTAACCTGCATACAGATTTCTCAGGAGGCAGGTTAGGTGGTCTAGTATTCCCATCTCTTGAAGAATTTTCCACAGTGTGTTGTGATTCACACAGTCAAAGGATTTGGTATAGTCAAAAAAGCAGAGGTAGATGTTTTTCTGGAATGCTCTTGATTTTTCGATGATCCAGCAGATGTTGGCAATTTGATCTCTGGTTCCTCTGCCTTTTCTAAATCCAGCTTGAACACTGATACAGGTGGAACTTATGTGAAAACAATAGTCAATCACATCGGAATTGTTTATCTCTGTCTTAAGTAAGAGGAGGGCTTCCCTGGTGGCTCAGATGGTGAAGAATCTAAGTGAGATTAAACTACACCATGACTGTAATTCATCTTCCACCCCATGAGAAAAGAATCAATACAAGATCTCTTGGCTTCCCTTAAAGTTGTTGAAATAGATGGAAAACGTGACTCCTCCCCCAGAGGGCTTAACAATTCTTTTCCGTAAAACAAACTCTAACTCCACAGAATCTCCCCTTTACATTTCCTATTGGGGCTCTGATCTGTTCTTCAGCTGACTCTGTACTGCCTGTAGTTAAGAGCTTGGGTTTGGTATACACAGACCTGAGTTCAAATTCCAGGGCCATTTAAGTGCCTGTACGACTTTTGAGACCTATTTAATCTCTCCAAGCTTCAGTTTCTTCTATTAAAATCAATGTGGGCTATTCATGCTTATCTACTCAGGGGTTTTGTGAGCATTCTGTCTGAAAATACATGTAGGGTACATAGTACAATACTCGGTACATACTAAGATCATGAACAGTTATACCTCCTGTGATTAATTTTATGGTTTTTTTCAGTGGTCATGTACAGATGTGAGAGTTGGACAATAAAGAAGGCTGAGCGCTCGAGAGCTGATGCTTTTGAACCATAGTGCTGGAGAAGACTCTTGAGAGTCTTTTGGACTGAAAGGAGATCAAATCAGTCAATCCTAAATGAAATCAACCCTGAATATTCACTGGAAGGACTGATGCTAAGCTGAAGCTTCAATACTTTGGCCACCTGATAAGAGCCGACCCATGAGAAAAGACCCTGATGCTGGGAAAGACTGAAGGCAGGAGGAGAAGGGGGTGAGAGAGGATGAGATGGTTGGATGGCATCATTGACTCAGTGGACATGAGTTTGAGTAAACTCCCGGAGGTAAGGAAGGACAGGGAAGCCTGGTGCACTACAGTCCACAGGGTAGCAGAGTTGGACATGACTTAGTGACTTCACAACAGTGAAGGATGTTAGCTATATGCTAACTCAGTTCACTTGGGTTCAGTTCAGTCACTCAGTCGTGTCTGACTCTTTGAGACCCCATGAACTGCAGCACACCAGGGCTCCCTGTCCATCACCAACTCCTGGAGTTTACCCAGACTCATGTCCACTGAGTCGGTGACTCCACCCAACCATCTCACCCTCTGTTGTCCCCTTCTCCTCCCGCCTTCAATCTTTCCCAGCATCAGGATCTTTGTAAATGAGTCAGCTCTTCACATCAGGTGGCCAAAGGATGGGAGTTTCAGTTTCAGCATCAGTCCCTCCAGTGAATATTCAGGACTGATTTCCTTTAGGATGGACTGGTTGGATCTCCTTGCAGTCCAAGTGATGCTCAAGAGTCTTCTCCAACACCACAGTTCAAAAGCATCAATTTTTTGGCGCTTAGCTTTCTTTCTTTTATATATTAACTAATGCTAGCTAAATGCTAGCTAGTAATAGGGGTTATGGGGCACATAACTAACTGACCTTAAATTTGCTGGCTTAAAATAAGGAGTTATTGAGCTCATGTCTCTGTGTGTTGACAATTCGGGGTGGTCTCAGCTAGGTGGTTCTTATGCTGGTCTTGGCAAGGCTCACTTTTGACTCTTTGTGGAGTTGGAGGGTCAGTTGGGGCAGGCTGACTTACAGTGGGCTCATCTGAAATTGTTGGGATCACTGAGGCCTCTCTCCTCCAATGGAGCCCAGGCTCCATCACATTTTCTAAGTCTCTGCTTGCACAGTGTTTGTCTCAGTCACATTGGCCAAAGCAAGCTGCAAAGCCAGTCCAGAGTCAGGACTGGAGAAACAGAGTCCCAAAGCCAACTGCAAGAGTGTGCACACAGTCAGAGGAAGGAAGAAACTCAGGACTTTTCTCCAAGACACCACAAAGAGCCTCTTCTAATACTTTTATTTATCTGTGTTTGCTTCTTGTCTTTATGTCCTTCATGTTTATTATCCTCCCCACTTCTTCCTCTCTCTGTCTTCCTCTTTCTCCCTCTCTTCTTCAAATATTTATTAAGCATCTAGCATGTTTCATGTAGAGAGAATACACCAATATATACTGTCTAATTCAATATATGTCTAATTCAATATATGTCTAATATATACTGTCTAATTCGAGTTGTCTTATAAAGGATCTCATTGCCTACAGTGCCTCTATGTTTAAAAGAAGCTTTTTTTCTCTGTCTCCTTGTAGCAGTCCCACTCTAACACCCTGTGTTAAATGCTAAAGCTAGCTAGCATTTTAGTAAATAACAATGAGAGATAATTGTTTAAAATGATAGTGTTTCTAAGGAAGGGTTACCAGCTGTTTTGTCTGCTCTAATCAAGAACTCAACCTTATCATCTCAGGATTTTGCTCCCTATCCATTTGCAATTCTCTTTACAAAGCACAGATGACGGCGACATTCGGCTGAGTGTGTGCCCGCGCACCGTCCTAGTTGGCGCAGAGAGGGGTTGGGAATGACCTTCTGGATTAGAGGCTCATCCGTTCCATTTGTTCTCATGTGTTTCCAACCTCTTTGGCAACGACGGAAGTGAGAAAATTACTCTGGCATTCAATATGCTGTGTTCTTAAAGGCATGAGCTTAAATGGCAACAGAAATAGCCTGATGACATGTGTGGCATGCATGGGTAGAGCCTCACTGTACTTCAAGTCTTTGCTTTCTTTTTTTCTTTTTGATGTGGACCATTTTAAAGTCTTTATTGAATTTGTTATAATACTGCTTCTATTTTGTTTTGGTCTTTGACCTCCAGGCATGTGGGGTCTTAGCTCCCTGACCAGGGACTGAGCCTACATTCCCTGCATTGGAAGGTAAAGTCTTAACCACTGGACCATCAGGGAAGTCCCTCACCTCTTTCCTAAGAGAATGGATCTCCACCTTGGTTGCACATAAAAACACTTGGGGAGCTTTTAAATTAGGCCCACACCCAGGCTACGCTGCAGACCAAACTACATCAGAATCTGGGAAGTGGGATCTGGGCGTGGCTAGTTTTTAAAAGCTCCCCTGGTGATTCCAAAGTTGAGTCAAGGTTGAGAACTACTGCCTTGAGGGGACCCATAAAATGTTACAACACAGAAATCTCTCTTGATTTTGAAATTGAGGAAAATTATGTCCAAAGAGGTCAAAAATCCTCAAAAGCCCAGGTAAGAGGGAAGGCAGGATTCAAACCTACGTTTTCCAAGTCCAAAGTCTGTGTTTTGATGCCTCATAAGAACGGGAAAACCCTGAGTCACTATTAGGCAATGGTAGAAATAGAATGGAATGAAATAAAACAAGAAGGGTATATTCCTGATATAAATATTTAGTGATAAAGAAAACTAAGCAATGAGAGCATCAAATTGCATCATTATGACCTTTTGGGAACAAACTTTTGGGAGAAGTGAATAACTTAACATCTATTTCCTGTAAACTGTAAATATGCTGGCAAATACCTTTGAATACACAAATGCATGCTAATTAATAGTGAATCATCTCAGTGCCTGATTTAGAAATTGGAACAAATACTGGACTAAACCTAAAGCGGAGCTATTTTGAGCAATTCGGGCTATAAGCAAATATTCTGATAGGATGTCAACAATGGTATTTCTAATACCATTTGGACGGATATTATTCTTTCTGGAAGAGCGATCTACGCAGAGGCTCATCTTTGTGTTGGCCCCACACAGTGTGTAAGAATCAGAGCTGGGAGGTGTGGGGACACAGGGATCGATAAATCCCAGTTCTTACCAGTCCAAATTCGGCTTTAAGAGAGAAGCACTGGCACAGAGGGGATACGAAGGGTATTCACGAGAGGTTCAGGAAAGGCAAACACCCTTAGCTCAAGTATTAAAGAAGGTGGTGGCAGAATCAGTCCTCTAGAAATTGAGGATGAGGGGAGAGGTGATACACAGGCAGAAGCCGACCCAGAAGATTTGAAGGGAAAGAACACTGTTACTGGAAGCCCACCTGTACTAACTTGGAAAACACTTCGGCAAACACTTAGGTTATGTGATCCGATATCTGTAATATAATTATTCCTGACTTTCAGCTGTCCCTTCCTTAGGATCTTTGGCTGCTGACTTTATTTCTGGCACTGATACAAAACCAAAAGACCAAGAGGGAGTTTTTTAAAAAACCAAAAAAACCAAACTCATTATGGGTCAAACGATTCAGGGCCTCTAGGATTTGTATCTTTTTTTGCACAATGTAAGCAGAGATGTCTGTCATTCAGCAGCGTATCCTCCTTTGCCTTCTGGGGCACTGTGCCCTCTGGATCTCCTCCATCTCTGTCATTCTGGCTCCACTCTCCCTCGGCAGGCTTTCTCTGACTCCTGCCTTCGGCTTCTGTCCCTGGGCCAAAGATTTCCAAATTTCTCTGAGATCCCTCTGCCTGCCTTCCACCTGGTATGCCAGCTGCCTTCAGATCTATTCGCTCGGATGTTTCTCTTGGACATCATCTCAAGCTTAATACGTAAAAGAGAAACTCACATCCTCTCTTCACACCCCCTCCCTAAAGCAGCTTTCCTTCCCAAGTTGTCTCCTGCTCTTCCAGCCCCATCCGTTTCCTTACTCCAACCTTTGAGTTACATAACTAACAGATGCCTCCCTTTTGCTCTCAAGTCAGCAGCCAGCAAATGCCAGGGAGTCTGCTTCTGCAGTAAGATTCAGCCCTTTCCTTTTCCACAGCCACCAATACTTCCTTCTGTATAAAAATCAAGGTCTCCCCTCCATGGTTCCTCTGCCATGCTGTTTGGTCCATAGAAAGCTGTTCCTGATCATGTAATGCTATTGTCCTTATAAAGAACCTAGATTCTTAAAGGACAAGTTCCATGTTTGCATGTAAAGTTATTCATTAACTAGTTCTATTGTACTTCCTTTATTTTTATATCTGTTGAATAAATATGCATTTTATTTGCATAGTTATTAAATTAATATGCTTTAGATGCTTTCGAACTGGGGTGTTGAAGAAGATTCTTGAAAGTCCCTTGGACTGCAAGGAGATAATCCAGTCAATCCTAAAAGAAATCAATCCTGAATACTCATTGGAAGATTGATAGTGAAGCTGAAGCTCCAATACTTTGGCCACCTGATGCGACAAGTGAACTTACTGGAAAGGACCCTGATGCTGGGAAAGATTGAAGGCGGGAGGAGAAGGGGATGACAGAGGACGAGATGGTTGGATGGTATCACTGACTCAACAGACATGAGTTTGAGCAAGCTCCAGGAGATGGTGAAGGACAGAGAAGCCTGGGTGCTGCAGTCCTTGGGGTTGCAAAGAGTTGGACAGGACTGAGCAACTGAACAACAAGCCCCCCTACTGCGCACCAGGCTGGAATACAGACACAGAAACCAAAGTATGGTTTTTGCCATTTTCTGAAATGTGTACAGTCCAGTGGTGGAATATAAGCATGTATAAAAGTTTAATTCGGATTCAGTGAATAAACTCCTACAGTAAAGGTGTCCTGAAAGTCTGGGCAAGGTATCTGGGAGCAGGAAAGATGTTACAGATGATAAAAATATGCAGCAAGACATTGAAAGAAAACCAAGTACTTGGTAATCTGGCCTTTACTGTTAGCAAGAAACAGTCTCCTACATGCGGATGGTACACTCTCCTCTTATCCACTTCCCTGACTCACTTTAAATTGCCCTCTACCCTCCCCCGGTCTCTTTAAGAGCTGTCCAGGTCTTTGCTAATTCAATGTTTTTTGCTAATTCTGCTTTTTCACAAGTCCACCTCAAGACAGACTTCCCTCAAGCCCTGCCCGCTCTTAGCTTCACCTTCTTTCTCCTTTCCGTACTGCACAACATCATTTCTTAACCAGAATGTTGGCACTACCCTCAAAGACAAAGAATTTCAAAGTTAAATATGTACTTGAATCATTCTCATGTGTGATTCATCGGGTTTAGGTAGGAAGGCAGGAATTCGATTTTTAACAGATTCCCAGGTGATTCAGGCAGAAGAAACAATCCTGAGTCACTTTGAGAAACACCGTTTCAGACCCCTGTGGGCCTCCTATTTCTTTCTCCACATAGGCTGTCCGCAGCCTATGAGGACTAGCAAAGCCAAAGTGGGTTGCTGAAGGCTCTGGGCTCCAAGTACCAGCTTAGACCGTTGACTATTAGATACATCAATTACCAGTGACATTCAGAGAGTCAGGAAAAATGACTCAGTCGAGTGGACAGAACCTCTGTCTCTGGAGGAAAGTAACTCCGGAGGCAAGAAATCTCTCTGAAAGTCATCCGAGGAGCAAGAGGAAATTATATTTTCTGTCCTCTCAAAACAGACGCAGCCATCGCCCCGGAGGACCTCCGGGCGTCTCAAATAAATCACGCTTCCAGAGAATAAAGGACGCACTGCAAGTTCAAGGGCTTAGAAGAGAAAAACCCTATGGATACTAGATGCATTCATTCAAGGCCATCCTGCTTAGCCTCACAACCTCATAAACAGGTGCAACTGTTAAGAAAAAAAAAATGATGCCAATGCACCTCGAGTAAGCGTTCGTGAAAACGAATGCGACACAAACCACTCCTTTTTAACAATAAAGCGAAGTCCGAGGATGCCCAACGCGCTGCGCAGTCCTGCCGCGCGTCCCCAAGTCCCCCCAAGCGGCCCCTCCCACCTCCGAGTGCCACCGCCCTGCGGGGGGGCGGGGCCGGGACGGCGGCGACGTGCTGACGTCAGGGCGTGGGGACAGCCCGGCGTCGTCCGGCGCGGGGAAGAGCCGGCGGGGCCCGCTGCTGCCCGTTCAGTCTGCGTGGTAGCGGAGGTCCGCGTCGGCTCTCTCGGCCTTTTGCCCTTCCCCTCGTCCCGGCCTCCGCGGCCCGGGCGGCTGGCCCGTCGTGATGCGGTCGGCGCGCCCGGCGCGGCCCCGCTGAGGCTCGGCGAGGCGGCGAGCGCGGCTCGGGGTCACCATGCCTACCCGTGAGTGGCTGCCCAAGGGCCGGGCCGGGCCGGGCGGGGAGCGTTGGGCGCGCACTCCGAGTGTCGCTGGGCCGGGGAGTGCCCGCGACCGGCCGAGTTCGTTTCGTTTGGGCTTAGGGTTCCCCGAGAGTGGGCGGGTGGAGGTGGCGGCGGCGCGGGAGTCTGTTGTACGTAGCAGGAGACCGAGGTCCGAGCGCGGAGGGCGCCCGGCTCCGAAGCGGCAGAGCTGCCAGAAGGCAGCCTCGCGGGACTTAAGCGCCCAGCTGTTCCTCCAGCAAAGCGCAGGGACTTCCTGCAAAGGCGGAGAAGAGCTCACCCCCCTCCCCCCCCCGTCACCATGGCCTCCTCACTTCCTCGAGGACGGGCGTCGCCGGTGGGGACGCCCCTACCTCGCCCGGAGCGCTTCCCCGCGACGCCGCAGCCCCGGCAAGCCTGGGCTTTTCCTCTGAGACACGTCCCGGTGGTTGAAGTAGGCGCGCTCCTTGGGGAACTTTGTCAGGCTTGGGTGCCCCGTGGTGTTGGACCATCGGGCTTAAGATCCACTGGGCAGCAGGTAGGAAAAGGAGGGTTTAAGGTCCCCTTCCCTAGACACGTTGAATAAGACTCCCGGAGCTGGGGCCCCGGAATCTCTGTGTCCTGCGTGTAGAACGGAGGGACCCTGAAGTTTGAAAATCGCTGGACAGTTGGAGGCATTTTGGGCAAACAGGGTGTATATACTACAACACTGCCAAAGACCAATTTTTCAACGACCCCAGAAACTCTCCAAGTAGTACCCAGCGGCCTGGCTTAGGTATGTGCCGACTAGGGTAGTGCCAGGTTTAGGACGCAGAGGAAAAGCATTGATGATGGTTGATTTGAGAATTTTTTTCAGGTAGGGCTCTTGTGAGCACGGTGTTTCATAGTGTGGAATCCTGAAACACTTGCCAGCATGTTTCCAGTTAGCTTGTATTTCTTAGAATTCATAACGTTTCCTAATTGTCCTTATTTTTGTAGATACATGGAACACTGGATTTCCAGGTCAGCATCAAATGCTTGTTTTGTCCAGTGGTGGGTAAAGAGGTGTTATCTCCTGACACTAGAAAGGTTTATATATTGCTGTTGCAGATGTTTAAACAGTCTTGATGTAAAGATGACTAACAACTTCTCCTGTATGTGTGGGTAAGGTGGGTCTTGTTCTCTTCAACACAGATTTCCTAACCTTGATACCTGGTTTTGTATCCAGTATGTATGTCAGCAGGCTTCCCTGGTGGCTCAGTGATAAAGAATTTGCCTGCCAATGCAGGAGAGGTGGGTGCCATCCCTGGATGGGGAAGATCCCCTGGAGGAGGAAATGGCAACCCACTCCGGTATTCTTGCTAGGATAATCCTGTGGACAGAGGAGCCTGGTGGGCTGCTGTCCATAGGGTCGCACAGACTTGGACACGACTGAAGCGACTTAGCATGCATGCATGCACTGGGAAAGGAAATGGCAACCCGCTCCAGTATTCTTGCTAGGATAATCCTGTGGACAGAGGAGCCTGGCAGGCTGCAGTCTATGGGGGGTTGAAAAGAGTTGGACACGGCTGAGCATGCACACGTCCCTATGTCAGCAGTTTATATTTTAATTTTATTTGTCTGGACTGGAGGAATATCCTCATCACTGTTATTGTCAATTTAGTCCTTAAATTCATGTTCATTTTATTCAGTGAATTAGCACTATGCTAATCTACACTCCAGTATTCTTGCCTGGAAAATCCCATGGACAGAGGAGCCTGGTGAGCTATAGTCCATGGGGTGGAAAGAGTGGGACATGACTTAACAACTCAACCACCACTATGAATCTACTTTCTTAGAAAGCAAAGGGTGGGGAGGGGACACCTTTCTTGAAAGTTAGGGCTTCAAGTGGAATTTATTGGTAAAGTGGCAGTTACTTTTTTTTTATTGTTTTGAGGTTATCTAGCGTCATAGAATGGACATAGGAAATGTTTGTTTGTTTTCTTAGTCGTGTGCTTTACAGCGCAGAATGACACAAGGATGAGCCACGGTGTACTTTGCATAGTTAAGAATACAATATTCATGACCTGATTGGAAGGAAGTGAACTACTTGAGTTGTCTGTCATTGTTAATATTTATTATGGTACGGTTTCTGTGATTGCTTCAAAGTATGATACTGATTGGTGGTACCCAAGTGAAGTCAGTTGTGTTTGTAATTGCCTTTTTCTCTCTCTCAGTGACCAGACCCACCAAAATCGTTGGGGTAGTGCAGTGGACATTAGTACCTCTCAGAAATTCTGCATGTAGAATAAGTAATTTCTGCAAAATCATTATTTTGTTTAGGGATTTTTTTAGGGAGGAACACCTACCCACCCCAATAAACAAAAGTTTTTTTTGGTGTCAGGCAAGTTAAGAGGCTCACATATGTGCTCAGCTAGTTAATTCTTAAGGGTTTAGTGGGCTCAGAGGTTAAAGCGTCTGCCTCCAATGCCGGAGACCTGGGTTCGATCCCTGGGTCGGGAAGATCCCGTGGAGAAGGAAATGGCAACCCGCTTCAGTATTCTTGCCTGGAGAATCCCATGGACGGAGGAGCCTGGTAGGCTACAGTCCACGGGGTCGCAAAGAGTCGGACATGACTGAGCGACCTCACTCACTCTCACTCACTCAGTGAAATGGTAATGCTTTTCTGTAAAATGAAAAGTGTTGGAGATGATCACTAGGGTCTTCTCAGACTCTATAATTCTGTCATAGAATTTTTCTATTCCTGCTCTTTTGTTGCTTACTTGGCATGTGATTCTCCCAGTCACTGAAACCGGAATTGGTGAGTAGAATCTAGTGGAGCATGGCACACCCGTGAAGGCAGAGCGACAGCCTGTCTCATGAATGTTAGCAGTTGCGTCATTGCCGTTACTTAGATCCAGAAGGGTCTTCTCCAGAAAGCAGCTACCTGGAAGGATGTCTGACAGGAAGGGACTGCAGCACAGGCACAATTCTGTGGTCCTGTCACTGTAGTCAGGCAGTAGTTTGCAACAGTCACTAAGCACAGATTTCAGGACTGTCTCACTAAGCGATCTTTTCAAACCTGCAGCCCTGTAATTTGTCATGTCATTTTCCTAAAGGCCTTTATTTCATCCTCCTCTGATCCAAGGACCACTAAGAAACATTTTGATTGTGAGGATTCTCCAAATTCTGAATCAGAGTTTAAGTGGAAGATATGTTAAAGCTTCTTAATTCCAGTCGTTTTATTTGTTTTATTTTGTGTATTAGGAGACTGAGACTCAGTGAGTTTCAGTAACTTGCCTAGGGTCAGAGGTAGAGTAGAACCAGGACTTGAACACAGATCTGGGGGTTGGGTTGGGGTTAGGGTTCCTATACATAATCACAGTGAGCATAGATACTGTTTATTTTTCTGTAGCTAAGCTGATAATAGTTTATCTTTTCAAAAAATGTTCCCTGGAGTTACACTAAGGTAAAAATGGTCTTGGCCAAAATTTGCATCAGATATGTGAACTTATAAAATTATTTAACAGTTTTGTCTTTGCTTCTGTCTTGTCACCGGAATCTGAGGGAAGAATATTGGGGATCCCAGTGGTATGCTAGGTAGATTCTTGGTTATTTAAGTATAGACATAAAGTTTTTAGTAAACTACTTATATGAAAGGGACCCCTCCGCTGACAGATAACTTATCTTGAAACAGTTCAATAAAATGCCCAATTGAATATGCTCTTTTTTTATATATGAAAACCTATTGAATATTGGCTAAGGGAAACTGCAGTCTTAATCATTCTTTGCTGTTAACTGTACTTTCAGTGGTTATTTGTGGTTAATGCGTTCTTTTCTCATTTAGATTGGCTTTGATATTTGGCTGCATATGTTAGGCTGTGGTAATGTGGTCCATCCATGTTTGGTTTTTTCCTATTGATGAAGTTAATTATATTTGACTTATTTTTCAATCTGTTCTTATGAAATAACTGCAGAATATAGATGAACTGTGACGTGAGGGATGAATGCCATTTGAAGTGTTTTTGTTTAGAAACATAAGCAGACTTGACCTGCCCCTGGAGTGTGAGCATTCTGTCTGTTCCTTCTCTCTCCCTCCCTGCGCCTCACCCCCTCTTCTCTCTCCCACCCAGCACCTGTATATCCTGCCGGAGTTACAGCTGAAGCGTTCTCTCTCTCACAGCGACCTCTGGCCTGACACTGTTCAGCTTACTACCAGAAGTCATCTGTCCCCACTCCTGGGGACGTGGGGCTGCGTTGAAAATGATATAGGTGGTGGGAGATGAGACTGGACAGGGAGGAAGGAGCCAGAATTTGCAAGATTTAATATGCTGTGCAACTAACATGACTAAAATTGTCTTCCAGCTGTCACACTCACAGGTAGTGGCTGTTTTGTAGGCATGTTAGCAGTTTCCAACTTACTGGCTACTTTACAAAAACTTAAAATTTGCTCTTAGTGATAGAAGTTATTTATGGAGTGTTGATTGTATACCAGACAATATACTTTGTGCTTTACAGGAATGATCTTATTTAACTGTCTCCCACATTGAGGAAGGTCCTATGTGACCAGTTACAGAAACTATGGCTCAGGGAAGTCAAGTCACAGCCTGATGGCAGTAAGTGTGGAGCTGGGCTTGGAGCCGGAGGCCTGTGACTTTGCAGCGCTCTGCTCCAGCGCAGCAGGAGTGGAACCTGCCGTCAGAGCCTGTCAGTTTATTTTAGCATGGTCTCCTCTGCTTAGCACTCTGCCTGATCACGTCACAGGTACCTGGTCAGTATTGACTCAAAGAAGGAATTTGAACTGGAGTCAGAGAAGTGCTTCTTTAGATATAATAACTTGAAATAACTTTTTTCCCCATAAAAACTGTTCTGAAAGGTTTTATAGCTTATGATTAGATTCTTAGCAGACCTGTCTGAAATATTTGACAGGCCTGAGACAAAGAGTACCAGTGGAGGCCTGCAGACATAACCTAGGTTGGGGTTTCTCAGTTTCTGCTCTGTTGCCGCCTTGGGCTGGATCCTATTTTGTGG